GTGGTTCGGATGTGGTTCAAGTGTGGTTCGAGTGTGGTTCAAATGTGGTTCAAGTGTGGTTCAAGTGTGGTTCAAGTATGGTTCAAGTGTGGTTCAAGTGTGGTTCAAGTGTGGTTCAAGTGTGGTTCAGGCGTGGTGCAAGCGTGATCCCAGCGCGGCCTCATGCGATTCATTGCGCGAGCGTTTGTCAAGCGTGTTCCAAGGGTGGTTCAAGTGTGGTTCAAGTGTGGTTCAAATCTGGTTCAAGTGTGGTTCAAGCGTGGCCCACAGAAGCCATGCGAGGCCCATGTGTGGTTACGTGGTGGTCCAGGTTTGGTGCATGCGTGGTTCTTGGTGGTTCAAGTGTGGTTAATGCGCAGATGGCCCGACTGCAAACTGGCCAGGTTTGGTTCAAGTGTGGTTCAACTGTGGTTCAAATGTGGTTCAAGTGTGGTTCAAGTGGCTGGCGCGCGGCTCAAGTGCCACGCGGATGTTTCAAGTCTGGTTGAGTTGCACGCCGAGCGCGAACCCAGTGATTTCGAAGCGTGGGCCAAGACCGATGATAGGACCCAGGGCTCGCCGAAGCGTGATTCCAGCGTGGTTGACGTGTGGCCCCAGCGTGGTCCAAGTTTGGTACAAGCGTGGTCCGCGGGGCCCGCGGATGGTCCAACCTCGGTGCAAATGCTGTCCAAGTGTGGTTCAAATGTGGTTCAAGTGTGGTTGAAGTGTGGTTCAAGTGTGGTTCAAGTGTAGTTCAAGTGTGGTTCAAGTGTGGTTCAAGTGCGGTTCAAGCGCGATTCAAGCTTTGCCCGCGTGAGGGCCATTGTGCGGGCGTGTGCCATACGCGGATCAAGTGTGGTTCAAGTGTGGTTCAAGTGTGGTTCAAATGTGGTTCAAGTGTGGTGCATGCGCGGCCAAACTAATTCGCGCGCGGTCCACGCCTGGTCACACCGTGGTCCAAGTGTGGTTCAAGTTTGGTTCGAGTGTGGTGCAAGCGTGGTTCATGCACAGACGATCCGACCGCGCATTGGCCAAGTGTGGTTCAAGCGTGGCTCAAGTGTGGTTCAAGTGTGGTTCAAGCGCTGTCCAAGGGCACGCGCGGTACCAATGGGGTTCAATTGCTGAACAGGCGCGGTGCGCGCGCCTCGCAAACGCGGTTCAAGCGTTGGCCAAGGGCCCGCGCGTGCGCCGACATAGGTGTGGGCATTGTTCAAGTTCGGTTCACGGGGTACACAAACAGGTTCGATTGCGGTCCGCGCGTGGCGCGGGGCGCGCGGGTGTTTCGCGCGCGGCGCAAAGAGCGTTCATTAGTTCGCCCGCGAGTGGTTCGGGTTTGGCAGTGGCCTTGGGGTCTGTGCGCGGCGACCTCGCGCGCGCAACCTGCGAGTTGCCAGACTGTTCGCAGGCGCGCGCTGCTATTTCGAGGGCGCGGCAGGGTCGCCCCAGCGATGCATTAGGGCCAGCGGCGCTGCGCACGATTCTACGTTGCACCGCCGCAAGTTGGGGGCGCGGGTCGGCCGCCCGACGGCGCGAGCGGCGCCGCGGGCGCCGCGCGCAGCGCAAGACGAACCCGACGGGGCAGAACGGCGCACCAAGCCCGCGTGCCGAGTACAAGACATGGGCGCCAGACATGTCGCGTTAACCATATGATTTCACAAGGGAAATGCAACCGCGCGCCCCCGAGCCCGCGCGGCACGCACAACTTCGAGGCGCAAGTCGTCAGGCGGTGCACGCTGGACGCCCGCAGACGGCGTCGGCGCGCAGTCGCGGCGCGCGCGCGCACGACGATCCGACGATTTGGACGCAGCCCGCCGCCGCCTCTCGCGAACGCTCACCGAGCGCAGGGTGCACCCGCGCCGTTCGACTCGGTGCGCGGCTGAGCCCGTCGCTGCAAATGCGCGCGGGAAGCCGCCGCGCGTCGCCGCGGAAGCGGGGCGAGTTCTGCGCGACGGTGGCACGCGGCGACGCGGGCAGTGCTCATCGGTCTGATCGGCGCTCGCGAGCACAGACGCGCGTGCACGCGAGCCGCGCGAGGTCCGACCGCCGTGCGCGTAGCGCTGAAAAGGCGTGCTGGCGTTTCACGCGCAGGTCGGGCGAGCCTCATGCGCGGCTCAAGCGCGGCCCCAGCGGCGCTCGGGGGTGATGCAGCTATGATCCGCGGCGGCACCGCGCGCGGTATACGCGGGTATCAAGTGCGGCCCAGGTGTGGTTCAAGCGTAGTTCAAGCCTGGCTCAAGGACGCACGCGTCGCCGACATTTGTTTCAAGTGTGGTTCAAGTGTGGTTCAAATGTGGTTCAAGTGTGGTTCAAGTGTGGTTCAAGTGTGGTTCACATGTGGTTCAAGTGTGGTTCAGGGCGGCCGCGGGCTGCTTAATCGTGGTGCACGTGTGGTTCAAATGTGGTTCAAGTGTGGTTCAAATGTGGTTCAAGGGTGGGCCGGGGGCACGCGAGTGGCTCGGGTGTGCTTCAACTGTGGTTCAAATGTGGTTCAAGTGTGGGTCAAGTGTGGTTCAAGTGCGTTTCTATCTCGGCCAGTGGATCACGTGGTTCAAGTGTGGTGCAAGTGTGGTGCAAGTGTGGTGCAAGTGTGGTTCAAGTGTGGTTCAAGTGTGGTTCAAGTGTGGTTCAGGGCGGCAGCGGGCTGCCTAATCGTGGTGCAAGTGTGGTTCAAGTGTGGTTCAAGTGTGGTTCAGGTGTGGTTCGCGCGTGCTTCGGTCGTGGTTCAAGTGGCCCAAGTAACCTCATGCGCGTATCCAGGTGTGCCCAGCCTGGCTCGCGTCTGGCGCGGCTGAGCTTGGCGGGCTCACGCGTGCTTCAAGTGTGGTTCAAGCGTGGTTAATGTGTGGTTCAAGTGTGGTTCAGGCGTTGAACAACTGGGTTTAATGTTCGCTTCGCTTGCCCAGGCCTGGTTCACGCGTGGCTCTAGCGCGACCCGCGCGCGGTTCAGGCATGGCTCGCGCCTGGGCCAAGCGGACCAAGCGCGGCCCAGTTGCGGGCGAGGGACAGCCCAAGCGCGGTCGAAGTGTGGGCAAAGGGCCCCAGAACGGCAGAAGCGTGACCCACGCGCGCCCCAATCGCGCTTCCATCGCGTCTCCAATGTGACCCACGCGCGATTAAACGGCGCATGCGCCTTTCAAGGGGGGAGCGCATGCGTGGCCCAACAGTGCCCGAAGTGACGTTCTGGAGTGGCCCAGGCGTGGTTTAACTATGGCCCGCGCGTGGGTTCAGATCGCAGCCCTGCCACGCATCTAATTCACGCGTGGCCCAGGCGCGTTTCCAGCGTGGGCCAATGGCAACGCGAGCAGCCCAGTCGCGTTTGTAGCGTGAGCCAAGCGTGGCCAGTGGGTGACCCAATCGTGGCCCGAATTAATACCGAGCGCAGTTCAGGGGCCCACGCGTGGTCCAAATGCGGCGCAAGTGTGGTTAAATGGTGGCCAGTGCGTTTCTCGGGTGTTGCTCCAGCCTGGCACGACTGTGGGCCATCTGGGATTCGGGGGCCCGCGGTTTCCTGGCGTGCAGCAGGCGCGTTGGGAGCGCGGCCCCAACGCAGTCCGAAGGTGGTCCAAGTGCGCGCACAGTGTGGCTTCATCGGGGCCCAAAGGGCACCAGCGTGGTTCACGCGCGGCCGAAGCGGTGTTCAAGCGCGGCGCAAGGCTGGCCCAGGCGCGCAGCCATATGTGTTTCACGTGTGGGCTGGGTTGGTGCCAAGGGTTCTGGTCGGGCCCGTTGTGGCCCACGTGTGACTCAGATGTGGTTCACATGTGGCCCTGGGTAGCTGGAAGCGGTTCAAGTGCAGACCGCGCATGGTTTAAGGACTGGGCGGTTGCCCAATGTTGTATCGCACGTGGTCATAGGTTGTTCGCGCCTGGTTCTTCGTTCGGCGACGTTTGGTTTAAGCGTGGCCCACGCGTGCTCCGATGCCCGCCAATAGGCTCCAGCGTAGCTCGGATGTCGTTCACTCTTGGGCATTGTTTCTTCTAGTTTGCCTCAGGCGTGCCTCCAGCGTGGCCCAAGTGTGGTTCCAAACAAGCCCAAGCTTGCCTCAAGTGTTGGCCGTGCGTGTGTCTAGCGTGGTTCGCTCGTGATTCGCGCGCGGCGCAACGCACGTTTTGTTCAATTGCGGTTCGCGCGCGCGCCAAGCCTGCAACGCGCGGGGGGCGAGCGCGCGCGTGTGCCCCCGCGGCGGCATCGGCACGCCCCTCATTCGGATTGTGCCGTGCAGGGGTGTCCACCCATGCCTTGAGTCTGGAAATTGGCAGCGCGTCGCGCAAGCCATTTCGGCGTGCCCTTCGCGCGGGTCGCGCCCATATGTGAATATACCCATAGGTTCGACGCGCATTGTGCTTAGCCGTGGCGCGCGGTGCTGCGGAAAACAAACAAAGGCGCGAGCGCGCCGCGCCGCTGGGATGCGGCTGCGCGCCCATTGTTCAGACAGCCGCGTTTCGGGACCCAGGGGCACTTGTATGTTTGCGATGGCACGAACGCCACGCACCGTGTGATCACAATCCACAGGGAGCGCCATAGACAGACGTGGTTGTATATTGATTCGTCTGGTTTCGGGGGTGCGCCGTAACATTCACAAGCGTTGAACTGCACGTTAAAACCTAAGCCCAAAAAGTCAGCCCGTAGGCCTGCAAGGGTTCAACCTTGAGCGCCTGTCCGTGGCGCTCGCCCACGTGATTTTGCAGCGGCCCTGCGCCCCCCCTATTGTGTTTGCCACGGGAGCTCGTTAAGATCCATACTGTGGTTGCACCGTGTTCTGGATATCTTTCCCGGGGCGGTTCTTGGTTCGAGTTAGGCGGTGTGACGGCGATAGCGTTGGTAATGCTGATGGTGGTGATGAGTATGGTTGCGATGGTGATGCCGGCGTTGCCGACGGCGGCGACGACGACCGTGCCGAATGCAATGACGATGGCCAACTTTATGAACATGATGTTGATGCTGACGATGGTGATAGTATCAGCGCAAATGCCATAATTATTCATGAGTTTCTGTACTCGCGGATGTCCGCGACCGTCGGCTTATACGAGCGGTGCTCTGCGACGTCCATGCGGTCCGCGGCCGACAGCCGCGTGGACAGGTAGTCCTTCGCGGCGCTGGGCCCGAGCTGGGCCGTGCCGAGGGCCAAGGACCTGTGCTTAGAACAGGCCGCGCGCCTCGGGCATTGCACCCGCAAGCCCCTGCCACCGCGCCAGCGGATCTCCAAGGAGATCGGCCGGCCCAAGACGAAGTCGGGAACCTCGAACTCCCCGTCGACTCCATCCCCCTCGACTGGCGCCCGCCGTGCATCCGCAATGGGCTCTGGCGGGGCTGGCACTGGCTCCTCGTTTCCATCGTCGCCGCGGGCGTTGACCACGGCGTGCCCGTCGCCGACGGGAGGAGGTGCCGCGGGCAACGCTAGCAGCACAGGATCGGCACGATGCTCGTCGCCAGCCGCCTCGATATCCGAAAGTCTCGTCTGGCACTCCTGGGCGCCAGCCTGCCCTGGGATCGCCCCCCGCGCCCGCAAGAGCCACTTGTAGTATGCCTGGACCAGGTCGCTCCTGAAGCGCTTCTGGCCCGTCTTGAAGATGGAGGCCCTCGCTAAAACGCACTGGAGGTAAAACCTCTTGGACGTGACCCCGCGGCTGTCGTAGACCAGCGGCGACGCGCGCGAGTGCGCGCAGAGGCCGTCGACAGCCCTGAACCTGTTCGCGGACAGCTCATCCAACAAGCACAGCGCGGGCACGTCGGGCTCGGACATGCTAGTCCTGAGGGGGATCGCAATCCCAAAAAAATATCACTGGCACCCCCCTTCTTGATTTTTGACGCATGTTCAAGGGGGCTGTGTATGTTGCAGCACGTGGTATGTATTCATGTGTGAGTTGACCCTGAAGTCTTCCATGACAGACTCCGCCTGCTCCCAAGGCCGACGCAGCCATCGATCGCAGGCTCGACGACACTGAACGTGAAGATGCCGCTCCTCTTTGAAGCGTCGTCTCCGAAAACTGTGAACATGCTGGCATACGTCGAAACCGACGACACCTGGAACACGCCGAGCCTCTCAGGCACGCTGCCTGCTTCCCAACTCAGGTCGACGAAGACGTCCACCGGGTGGAAGAGCCATGTCGCACCATCAGTCGGCGGAGTGCCCGACGTCTCCACGACGACGCCCCTGGCTTGCTTGGCAAGGGCCTGGTACACCGAGAACGGTAGATCGTCGTCTGGCCCACTTGGCACCGCCACGTAATCATGCACCTGCACCGTGCCGCGCACAAACTCCGCCATCAACTTCTGTGAGTCGGATAGGTCGGTGTAGCGCTCGATCCCATCAGGGCCTGCGACGTGCGCGGCCGCGATCATGTCTCCAGGGCCGCCTCCGCCAGGGCCCCCGAGCTCGTCGAAGTCACCTGGGCCGTCAGGCTCTCGACCAAGGCCTTGAGGTTGGAAATGGCTGTGAGCGTTGAGCTCGTACACCTTCTTCTTCGCCAACTGCGGGGCCAGTCTCAAAGGCACCGTTGGCTTCCTCATATTCACTACTGCAGACCATGAATTCCGCACGCGCTGGGCGCTAGCACCAGCCGCGTCCACCAGCTCGGCCAAGGCCCCAATGTTATAGTCCAGCCGGCGCGGCGAGGCCACGAACGGGAACTTGGTGCACCGCGAGTTGCCCAGCACGCGCTTCGCCTTCGCACGCGGCCCCTCGGCGATGTGGTCGTCGAACGGGATGTCGATGAGGGCCTGGGCGGCCCGTCGCAATCTCTCTGGAAGCTCGCCCCCAGCTGAGGGCAACTGCAGCGCGAGGGCCTTCAAGGGCGAGTCATCGCCCAAAAACTGCAACGTCACTGGATGGTGCTTCTCCTTCGGGACTGCCCTGTACTAGTGGATCACGTTGTCGATCACGCCTGGCTCGCCCAGCCTAGCAAATAAGTACGGGATCTCATCTACGAAGCTGAGCTTTCGCAAAACCAAGCGCCCTGGAGAACACAACGGTGCCGAGACACATGGGCTGAAACTCCACATTGTTCCCGAACTGTGATAGCGGCCACTCTCGGATCTCGGCGATGGTCTAGTCGTATACTGCAACGGCGTGGTCAAATGCATATGCGATCAATCTACCCTTCAATGAGCACGCGACTTTTTTGCCAAGCTTGTAGTCGGATTGGTGGCACATGCAAGACCCCCCCCCCATGGCTGTAAAGACGTGAGCCACTGCGCATGCCGCTTCGCAAAGTTGAAATGTCTAGACCACTCTGCGCTCAGAACTGCTGCTCGGACTTTCTTAATCAATGCTGTGTATTTGATCTTCTTGGTGAAATCGAACTGCTCCCATGACGTCCGAACAATATCAAGTATAACACCTATTGCATCGCGTGCCTTGCGAATCGCCCCCCCACCTCCACTCAGCAAGCTACGGGATGCCTATTCTCTCTAACAGCTTGCCAACCGAGGGATGCGTTGCATTGATGGCCTTCACCACATCGTCTGAGTAGCACCGCAAGAACGTCAGTATCGCCTTCAGCCCAGCAAGCCACGATAGGAACCAAGGTAGCATAGACAAACTTGTCTTCATAATCGTGTCGATGAGGTGCATCCACCCAGGTGCGAGAAGAGCGGAAGGGAACGGTCTTGGAAGCCGCTGAACTCGCGGAGGGACGCGTATGCCGACGTGAACGCAGAAATCGATCAATATATCAGGTGCTGCGCACAAGAGCCGCTCCGTCCCGAAATCCGAGGTGGCCGAAACTACGCTGGCAAGAAATGCCTTCATATCCCTGTACGACGGACATTTGATGAACATGATCTTCCACAACACCGCGTAGGTCTTTCCCGTCAAATCAAGCTGCTTGTTTCCAATGCGCACTATAGGTAGCAACATTCGCATGCATTTCCATCTAATACTGTCATGCTGGATCAGGTCCACGCTTGTGGACGAAATCGAACCGAACACGTGCCCTGTGGGGCACCTTTTCTCTCGCAATTTTCAGAACTCTCAACCATCCTGTCTGCAGCCTCACTATCAAGTCGTGCTAAGATCTTGGCCCGCGCAGCCTTGCTGCGCTTGATGTGGCGCAGGCTCTTCAAGTGGCGAGTGGCACCTAAGAGCGCTATTAACACTGTTGCTGGAAGGCCTCCGAACTCAATTGATGCATGAACCTCTTGATGTTGTCGAAATCGAGCCATGCCCGATGATGAAACCCCGGGGCGTTCCAGCAAGAAACAAGATCTCCAATATTTTGCAACATTCGGTGGCGGACCACTGCTCATCAAACGATTGGCGAAGCGCATGTTCGACGCGAGGGGTGCAACTTTCAACAATGCCCAACCATCTGTTAAAATTCTGTCTGCGAGTTCCTGTGGCACCATTGCAAACCTGGCGCGGAGGCCACACGCTGCTATATTGAGGTTGTGGGCCCACAGCCGAACCATCATTGTACAAGTCACGTCTTCGTATCGATCAAGTTGTCCAACAATGTCTCTGCGCCGTTCGTATTTGATCTCCTGCCATATATCTGATACGCCTGCCTGGAGCACGCGCCTGTGCGCTAGGGGTGAGCATTGTGTGATGTTGTACAAGACTGCGCCAGGTATGGTGCTGCCAGGTGGGCCGCCGCATTGTCTGAGAAGAAAGTCGGCCTGTCTGTTCGACGCTAGTACATCGCCTCTTTTGACTATCGACCAGTGCCCGATACAAAGACCCAGAGCCGTACGTTCCTCGAATATTCGTGGGCACTCGTCCACTGAGTAGCCTGACAGTCCTGGGGCTGAGCAGATTCTTGTGATGGATACGTCGCCCCACTCTGGATGAGTTGCCGTCGGTCGGCCGCGCTTCCTTGTCACCACAAGGGTTGGAGGAAGGCCCACATCATCTCCGTCAATGTCTGCAGCATTACTCGGTGGAAGGGGCAGTGGAAGCTCGTCTCCGTCGACTTCCATGGAAAAACACAGCGTGAGGCCAAAACGGCCTGCGAATCATGGACAATACTGGTTACATGTGCCGCAATATACGTCTTGGCAATGCAATGCAACGCAATGCACATGTTGGAACCTGATGCAACGTAATACAATGCAATTCGTCGTGCCATGGCGCACGTTCGCATAAAACCACACGGAACCCAACGCAAAGTGCTGTGCCAGTGCAATCATCAGTGACAACACGCGGGCTTCCAGAACGAATAATCAGCCGACCCCTGCGGGATCACCAGGTTTCTAAGATTGTCGTTCACCCCTGTCCCTCTGACGCGTCCCTGTTTTCGTTGTCCGATAACGGACTCGTTCGTTTTTTCGCATCAACGATACCGTTGTCAGCCCACGCCCCCGCCTTCCCTACACAGCCAGCAAATGAACCCCAATCGCGGCACAACGCCATGATGTGAACACCCGCAGCTTGCCCCCCCCCCCCCCCCCCACCCCACAATGAACTGACAAGCGTCGTCAGCTTCTACGTCGTACAGGCCCAAGCCTACACTAGTAAAATAAGAGTTCGGCTTTCACCCGCGCTCACCATTGACCCCCCATACACCTCCCTGGATACACCCGCGCGTTAGTATGCGAACTACGTAATGCTAGCACGCGCAACAGTCACAACACGAGGTGATGATAATGAGTGTTACATTGACGTCTATTTGCTTTGATGGAATCAAGGTGTTGATGTAGTGAGATGCTTATGTGGCCCAGTGGGGTTCCCTCCTATTCCCAAGACGTGTGTTGAGAAAGCGCCTCCCCGACCTCTAAGCTTACAGTTACGCGTTGCACCCCCCCTGGGGACTTGGGGGATACCCCTGCGTAATTACAGCGACTTATTCTTATCCTGGAGCCTTACGACGCGGGAGCCCATGGGGCAAGATCAGGAAGCCAGAGCATCGCGAACAAATCAAGACACGGCCGAATCGCTTCATGGCGTCTTGTTCGCGCGCCTGCAAAGCAAGAAATACAGCGCACCTCGTCAGTGCGTTCATTCACATAGAACTTGTGACCAAGGAGCGAGAGACGAAAGATGGGAGAGACCCTCGGAGCCGAAGGGGGAGGAGGAACATCCGTCCATGTCTTAGTGCGGATCATACGGGCGGCAGCCCATAAAATGTAATCAAGAGTTGCCTTATGATACTGGATCTCGCTTTCAATTGCATCCTTAGTTACATTAGCGAGCATAGCACGGCTGGACGCAAGCTTGGCGAAATAATCCGCTCAAGAGCCTGCTCGATGGTGAGGTCAGCGGGGGTCCAAAAAAACCCAGGAGGCTCAGAGGAGGAGCGACGCTGGGCGACTTGAGCGAAGATGGACCTCCAAACACCTGCATACTTCCTCATCCCTCGGGCCAGCTCGGGGTCGCTGGCGGCGCGCAGGAGGGGGGCGGAGGGAGGAGCGGGGGAGGCTTCGTAGAAGGAGCCTGCCTCTCAGGATGCGCGGGCCTTACATCTACAGGCAAGGCCCGCGTGCTCCGCGTGCTCTAAGAGGCAAGGGTGCTCATAAGAAGCTTTCCCCCCTCCCCCTGACCCCCCTCTGCGCCGGTGTGGGCTACAGTTCAGGTGCCGGTGGGCAGAAGTGGCCCAAATCGCACCTCTGATTATGCCAGATTGAACCGGATGCAACGGGATGGGGCGGAATCGAACAGCCTCGCCGTGAGTCCAGGCGCGGATGCCGAATCCGCTCACGCCCTTCAGGGCGTGAATGGTTTTGGGCGATTCCTCTTCAAACCCCCCTTCTTCCTTTCGGGCGTGGGCGGTTTCAAACCCCCTTCTTCCTTTCGGGAACGGGCTCATCACTGTTCCCAAATCATAAACACCCCCTCCCCCACCCGACAACCAGCCAACCTGAACCCATGAGGGAACCCATGAACCCCCCCACCAGCCCCGTAAAAAAAAAAAATCTGAATACATGTTCCTCCAGATCTGGAGCATGCGCGGGCGCCGCAACAACTTTGCTTTTACTGGTTGTTAACAGGGGCGGCGGGGTACCAGCATGTTGTTTTCGGCGCGCAGGCAAACACTCCACACCGTCTCGTGCAAGAAACGATACAAAGTGGTCTCTACGCCAGATTTTTTCATGATGCACGGATGCCCCACGATCACTCATCAGTGGGTTTTGACAGGGACGGTAAACAGGCAGCAGATCGCTTGCTATGCGCAATGCCAATATCCGCCCCAATCATCTCTTGCAAGAGACAATACACAAACCCGCGTTGCACCACGATCTTGATCGTGAGGTCGCCAACGGGATTTTGACGGATGGCGGGGTTGCTGGCACAATGCCTGCTGCGCGCAGGGCCACCCTCCCTGCCAACACACTGGAAGCACAGAAAATGCTCAAGTTGCCAGGGACGGCGGGGGGGGGTTGGCGGCATACAGTCAAAAACCCTAATAAGGACGCGCGGTAAGGACGCAAGACCCTTTGAAGCCGAAGTTGGGATTCTTGGGGCGGCGGACGATGAAAACCCCAAGGACGCAAGAGCAAGGAAGAGCAAGGACGCAAGGGTGCCCTGACCAAAGTCGGGCGTCCATATTAGGGTTGTTGACTGTATTGCCTGCTGTGCGCCGACCCACCATCCCACTCAAGAAACAAACGTAAAGCTGTCGTGGTCGCACGCCCGCACACAGCCAACCCGCCGTCGCGTCGCATGGTCTTTCACGGGCACGGTGGGGGAACCGACGCGTTGTCCACTGTGGCGCGCCCGGCGCGAGCGGCGCAGCTAGCAGGTGCGGCGCACCTCGCGGGCTCCGCTCACCTGCCTTTGGGGCACGAGCTTGTGTCATGATCGGGGGCGCCGCGAGCACATGGAATGGTCTTTGACAGGGTCGGCGGGGGTGCCCGCATATGACCTGCTGCGCGCAGGGCCAGCATCCCTGTCAACAAAACACTCGAAACATGTTTCTCCGAAAAAAAACTGGATCATGCACGGGCACCCCGCGATCACTCAGCACGGGTTTTTGACTGGGGCGGCGGGGGTGCTGACAAACTGCCTGCTATGTGCAGGCCCATTAGACGCTATCTTGGCCACCCCACCGCGATTGCGCACTGGTTTTCACCAAGGGTGGTGGGGGCGCACACTTTTTCTGATGTGTACTGCCACGTGCGCGGGCGCACCTGGCACACTGTGCGCGTGCCCGGGAAGTGGCGCACCTGGCGCGACTCAAGCATGCGGCACACGTGGCGCACGTGGATCACGTGGCGCATCTGGCGCGCCAAGCGTGCCCCGCACGCTTGGGCCGAAGGGGTGCCTGGCGCACCTGGCGCGCGTGGCCCGCCGGGCGCACCTCGCCCCAGCGTTGCGCACATGGGGTCCGTGCTGGTTCCCATTAGCTGTCCATCCGAAAACTACTGCTGAACACGCTGCGGCTAGGGTGCTACTTATGTATTGGGAGGGCGGGTGGGAGTGAACTCGACGGCTTGCGGGCGGGGAGGGTGTTTTGACTTTTGCTCCTGGACGGGGGGGGTGCCGCGGGTCGCAGGAGCGTCCAAGGCGGCCACGGCGAGAAGGCAAAATCTACTGATTTGTTTAACACTCTGAGCCTCTTGGGAATGCCGAACCTATGGATGGCAGCGTCAACCAGCCGTTTGCCAACTTCCACCCGCTTGCAACGACAGGATGCCCTTGCAAAAATGTGTCCGGCCGTCGTCTCGGACAATTGGGACATGTGCCACGGCAGGCCGCTCTTGCACTAAAAGGTCTGGCCCTCCTCTCCCACACCCCACCCCCTCCCGGCATACATTCCTCTGGCCACGGCACGCTGGTATATAGAGCAGCGTTCACGCTTGAGGAAGGGGCAGGACGAATGGAGAACGAGAGGAAGCATTGAAATTCATCCTGTCCACCTCGAGGCCAAGGTCCAGCCTCAGAGCACAGAAGGACCAGCAGCGCACGCAGACTGCTTCACACACGGAGAGATGGTGCGTCGCGGTCGCGCAACGCTAATGCAGCAAGATCCAGTGAACAGCGCTGCAGTGTACGCAAGCAACGTGTGCTGAGCCTCTTGGGGGGGGGGGGTAGGGGGCGCGAAATCGGTAGCCCCCCCTCTTTGAATCGATCTCCTCCCAGACGGCCCCAGGATGGCCCCAAGATGGCCCCAAAGGGTGCCCCACGCGGGCCCCAGGATGCCACCAGGAGGCCGCAAGAGGCCCCACAAGAGGTCCCCCAAGAGGCTCCCCAGAAGCCCCCCCGGAGGCTCCCCCGAGGTACCCAGGGCGGTCCAAGGCCCACGGGGCCGCCAGGAGGCCCCCCCCCCAAACGCCCCCACGAAAGACGCCAAGAGGCGCGCAGGAGACACGCGAAGAGACACCGAGAGGCATCCGAGGAGGCCTCTGGGATCCATGCGGTCCAGGGCAACTGCGGTCGGGGCCCTCGGGGGCGCGAATCATGGAGTTGCCCGTCCGTCGGAAGAAGGGGGGGCAAACATGTAGCAGGAAGGCTGGTGAAGTCGATTGGGTCCAGGCCCTACCAGAAAATAGCAAGCCATGTCAAAACCACAGCGAAACATACCAAAACCATAAGGACAGTTTCTCTGCCCTCAGCAAGCAGCCGTGGGTATGCGTACATTGAAGGGTAGGTGTTAGATTCTGCCTAAGCTGAGGTTACCATACAGCTTGGAAGAAGAGCCACAGCTACTCAAATCTCCATCAAGGAGCAAGCTCCCAGAGGGCCTCATGGAAAGAAAAGCAATCAGAACTGCATAAGCACAAACTTGTGGCGCTCCCCGCGGATTTCTTGGATCAGCGCTCGACCCCTCTCCCCAGAGCGCGAGCGCAGGGGGCGCCGCCGGGGGGGGACCAGCGCGGGTCCAAGACATCCTCGCGGAGCGCCCACAGTTGATGTTTATGGCGTTCTTTCTTCTTCGAATGGAACATCTAGCGGTTGAGCAACCAATCTATGTGGTGCTGGCCGGCCAGCTTTTGCTGAAGCGGTGGCCGATTCCCCACGAGCAGGTCGAAGCATCCATTCTCCTCGTACTGGCAACCCCACTTGAAGATGAGGCAATTGTGCTTCGGAGCCCTACCCTTCGCCGTGCATTTGCCGTCCAAGTGTTCGAACGACATGTTGTAATGCAGGATCACCTCAGGGGAATAGTAGTCTTCCTCTTGTATAATTGTCGTCGAAGTTGGAATCGCGATGTCTGGAAGAAGAAAAACGCCATAAACAAAAACCTCTGGCGCTCCGAACAAATTTCTTGCATCTGCGCTGGGCCCCCCTCCCTGGCGCGCGAAGCGCGCCAGGGGCGGCGCCGGAGGCGCCGCCAGGGGGGGGCTCAGCGCAGATACCAGAAATCCGCGCGGAACGCCAAACAAGTGTTGATAGCGTTTTTTCTTCTTCGAATTGTTATAGGACTCGCACTCGTCCTCCATACTGCACAGTTCCGAGCATTTCAGCACCAGTTGTTTGACGTCCGCGCTGTCGATGTTCGTGGAGCTGATGAGGATGTCAGGCCAATTGGAGCATCCTGTATACTTCATGACGACAGGTCCCTGGGCGATGCCTGCCTTTTGTTCCTCATCAGTGTCAATGTACTGAGAAAGGCCTCTCGCGTCGGCACGCCTGGTGAGAACGCCTCTCTTGTCCGCGTGCTTCAGCATAACGTTCACGGTAGTCACGGCCGCGATGACGGCGGATGTCGTCGCAACGAAAACAGTGAAGAGCACATTTCCAAGCCGAGGGTAGCGAAAACAGCGCCTTGACTCGGCGTCTGCTGGCAGCTGGTATCAATCCTCGAAGGCCATCGGGCTCTGTCTTGAGATCACGCTGTGCTAGGAGCTGGGGCTGTGAGTGAGAGCCCAAACTGTGAGCCAAAACTTGAGCTAGAATGCCTTGAGCCCAAACCAAAAACATGCCGACTCTTGAAGTAGGAAGGCGCTAGAAGTAGATGAGGATATGGGAATCCAGCCATGCCGATTGTCGACAACCGCTGGGTACCCCTGACCGCGCCTGACCGCAGGGCTGGACACCCGAATTCTCCGGGATACCTGCGATCTGGGGCAACTCCTGCTTGGGCCCCCGAGGCACGATTACAGTTACCCCTGACCGCGCACAGCCCTTCTAATTCGGGGCGCTGACGAAGGCTTGTGTCAGGTCGAGCATGTCCCCCTGCAGGCGGACCTTGGACGGGAAATGAAACACTGCCAACACATGCTCCCTCAGGGTCCACGAAGCGCTGCACTGCACTGGGCGCAGGAACCGCATGCGGACTGCGCCACTGGGACCTTCGGCGGAGCTCCCTCTGGGCCGCGGAACGTTGCACTGGGCGCAGGAACCGCATGCGGACTGCGCCACTGGAACCTTCGGTGGAACTCCCTCTGGGGCCGCGAAACGTTGCACTGGGCGCAGGAATCGCATGCGGACTGCGCCACTGGGACCTTCGGTGGAGCTCCCTCCTTGGCCAGGAAAGGCTGCACTGGGTGGGGGAGCCGCATGCGGACTACCCCACTGGGACCTTTGGTGGAGCTCCCTCTGGGGACAAGACACGCTGCACTGGGCGCAGGAACCGCATGCGGACTGCGCCACTGGGACCTTCAGTGAAGCTCCCTCTGGGGCCGCGGAACGTTGCACTGGGCGCAGGAATCGCATGCGGACTGCGCCACTGGGACCTTCGGTGGAGCTCCCTCCGGGGCCCAGGAAAGCCCGCACTGGGCGCAGGAACCGCATGCGGACTACGCCACTGAGACCGTCGTTGGTGCTTCCTCTGGGGCCACGAAACGCTGTACTGGGTAGGAGAGTCGCATGCGAACTGCGGAGGAGGAAGGAGAGGGAGGAGGGAGGAGGGACGAGGAGGAAGGAAGGAGACGCGGGGCGCTGTCTCCTTTCAAAACGAGGGCCCAACACAGGCTGGTTGGGAAGAACGCGATCACGAAGTCTCAAACCTCTAGTGCCGCGCGCGCCTCGGCGTCCCTGGTGTCGTGCCCGGCGTCTGTGACCCTCGCCGCCAGCTCTCTGATGGCGACCTCCTGCTGCAGCAGGCGCGGGCCGACGAAGCCGAGCTCGGACACCAGCTCCGCCACGCGCGACGCCACGCGGTCCTCGCCTGAGAAATCTGGAATCACCCAGGCCGCCCATGAATCGTGCTACCATGAGGTAAGCCAAGCAAATTATCCTGGCGAAGGAACCGATCATGCGCAATTGTGAATACCGCGTGGCGGGTACCGCTTTCAATGGGGCTCTCTATGGGGCCACGAACCGTCTGAACCGTGTGCAAAAATGGGCGTCGGGCGCATGCGTCCTGTGCCACTGGGGCCTTCCGTGGACCTCTCTATGGGGCCACGAACCGTGTGAGGGGTGCGCCGAGATTGGGCGTCGGGCGCATGCGGCCTGTGCCACTGGGGCCTTCGGTGGGGCTCCCTGTGGGGCCACGACCCGCGTGATGGGTGTACCAAAATTAAGCGTCGGGCGCATGCGGCCTGTGCCACTGGGGCCTTCGGTGGGGCTCCCTGTGGGGCCACGAACCGTGTGAGAGGTGTGCCAAAATGGGCGTCTGGCACATGCGGCCTGTGCCACTGGGGCCTTCGGTAGAGGGCCCTATGGGACTGCGAACTGTGTGAGGGACATGCCAAAATGGGCGTCGGGCGCATGCGGCCTGTCCCACTGGGGCCTTCGGTGCCAGGAACCGTGTGAAGGGTGTGCCAAAATGGGCGTCGGGCGCATGCGGCCTGTGCCACTGGGGCTTTCGGTGGAGCTCCCTGTGGGGCTATGAACCGCGTGAGGGGTGTGCCAAAATTGGGCGTCGGGCGCATGCGGCCTGTGCCAGCGGGGCCTTCGCTGGAGCTCCCTATGGAGCCAAGAACCGTGTAGATGTGTTACGAAAGGATTCGCGGGGGCGCGTGTAAACCCTCGGTGGAGCTCCCTATGGGGCCACGAACCGTGTGAGGGGTGCGCCGAAATGAGTCGCGGGGACACATGTAGAGCCCGCCACTGGGGCCTTCGGTGAAGCTGCCTATGGTGCCTCGAACCGTGTGAGGGGTGTGCCGAAATAAGCCGCGGGGACGCATGTAAACCCTTCCCCTTGGACCTTCGTCGGAACTCCCTACGGGACCACGAACCGTGTGAGAGGTGCGCCGAAATGACTCGCATGGACGCATGTAAGCCCTGCCGCTGGGGCATTCGGTGGAGCTCCCATGTGGCCACGAAGCTTGTGGGAGGTGTGCCGAAATGGAGTCGGCGGTGCAATGCGAACCATGGGGCAACGAAACGTGTGAGGGGCGTGCCGGAATGGATGGCACGGACGCATGGGATGATGAGGTAATGGTGGTGGTGATGGTGATGGTGATGGTGAAAGTGATGGTGATGGTGATGGTGATGAGGATGAGGATGATGATGCTGATGCTGATGATGATGATGATGATGATGATGATGATGATGATGCTGATGCTGATGCTGATGATGATGACGATGACGATGATGATGATGAAGATAATGGTGATGGTGATGAGGGTAAGGAGGATGGAGGGGGATGAGGAGGAGGAGGAGGAGGAGGGAGGAGGGGGAGGAGAAGAGGAGGTGGGACGCGGGGCGCTGTCCCTTCAAAACGAGGACCCAACACCACAGGATGGTCGCGAACAACGAAAACGCGTGACTGGCCACGGCGAGCGTCGGTCACGACTAGGCTCCCCAAACAAGCTCTGGAAAAGCCCGAAAACTGAAGCCCTTCCTGAGCTCAGTGGACCTCATGTTTGACTGTAGGCCGCCGACCTTCTCGCTTCGCACACCGCAATGAGAAAGGCGAGGTCATCTTCGCGTCCTCGCGCCGATCGTCGTCGTCGCGGTCATCCATCGTCTATCGTGGATCGTCGACATCGTCGATCCGATCGTCATCGGCCAGGGACCCTTATCATCGACCGTTAATCGTTGTCGTCATCGATCGTCGTGAATCATCGTAGCTTGTCGATCGTGGTGGTTCGAGGTTGCTTCGCATTCGCGCGGCGGATCTCGTCGCCGCGGCTGGACGCAACTCAAATCCCTTGGCCGAGCCAAACCCCAGGATGGGTGTGGCGATCCATTTCTTTCCTCAGCGGGCGTCCCTTTCGCTCCCAGCGGCTCGATCAAAGCAGCCTCCTGTAGTCGCCATTGTCGCAAAAGGCCGTGCCTCGACGGCCACCGGGCCCGGCCAGGGCCCACGAAGGCCGAAGCCTCCGGAAACCACTCCGCGGCGTCTGCTGTTTGTGAGGGCGACGCGCGGAAATCAGAGATCTTCTTCGATCCTCGATCCTCGGTTCTCCACTGTCCGATCCTAGGTTCTAGTCCCGGTCCTCGATCCTCCTCGATCCCCGATTCCCGTCAAACCTCCTCGCCAGAAGACCGTCGCTTCTCGATTCCACTCGAATCCCTTCGACCCCTCACCCTTCTCCAACCTCCTCGATCCTCCTCGATCCTCGTCCCTCGACTATCCTCCATCCTCGATTTTCGCCCTCGATCCTCGAGTGGACCCCCAGACTTCTCCTGCGGAGCACTCTGGCTAGGAGTCCGCGGCAGAGCTGGCCGCGGAGAAGAGAGGAGGCCGCGGCCCCAAGGAGAGCGGCAGAGACACGTCGGCCTCCGCCCGCCTTGGGCGTGCGATATCCCCTGAGATGGCAACGCCCAGATCTGGTACGGAAGAGACGGGTACGATGCACAACAGCAAATTGGCCGCACAAAGACATACATTGGGTTTCTTAATAAACGGGGGGGGTCATTATCCCCCCGACAGAGGTCAACCTCGCCTCGTTGTCGCGCCACGACGGGGGTCGGAGCGCCTTCGGCGCGCGGTGGCTGCCCGCGACGGGGGTCGATGTGGTGCTGTCGGCGGGGGTGACGCCCTCCCCACCCTCATTAAGAAACTCGGGGTACTAGTACCCGAACATCTAGTATACCAGCCTTGTGGTGTATCGTTTCCCGAGCGGCGTGGCCATGAAGCGCCCGCCACGACGCCTCGGTGCGCGCGTCGCCAATGGGAGGGCGGCGCACACATAGCATTGGTACCGCAGGGTGAGGCCGAGCAAACGTTGTCCAAAACCGACGTCGGCCGCTTCTGGGCAGGTGACCCATTGCCTCAAGCGGGCAAGAGCCGCGGCGACATCGACAGCGAGTCCTACTCAAAGGGGCAAGAACTGCTGTTGGCCTTTGTGCCTCCATTCGACTTCCTTCTCCACCACCCCATACCAACACGCAGTCACCGATGGGCTCGTTGATTTCCGGTGGGGGAGGCACTCTAAAACACTGAGGAAGCACAATGGACCCATAAAACCCCAAAGCCCGATACTTGGGGTGGTCTAGGCCCTTTCGGGCTGGGTGGGCTAGCTTGACAAGTAAGGTAATTCCAAAACATCTGAATGTGCGTGTGGTTTCCTCTGCGGGCCCAGAGCTCAAGACCCCTCCCTCTGGAGATGCTGTTCGCCCCAAGGGCACGTGTGATGGTCCAACAACCCGAAGGCGGCCCTCGGAAGCCGGCATCCAAGAAGCGTGCCGGGACTGGAAAGAAAGGATCACATGTTGAAAAGAGCCACAACCTGCTGTCGCTCTGCCCCCACAAGTTCCCAACCGGTTGTGTCGATGCCAATCGGCTCATGGATCCGATGGCTCCATTTCGTTTGTGATGGGGGTCCCAGGAAAGCTCGCCGCACTACGATGGATCAGCGTGTTATCATGAGTAATGTTTTTACGGTCCCGGGCTTGGCCGACAGCCCCAGGCCGAAAACTGCCAAGACCTCCCGTCGTCATTCTGTTCAAGACTCGGGAATGTAATGTTGTCGGGCCATAGCTGGGCTCTCCGGCGGCCGTTCGGGACGATCGGGGAACCCCCAAAAGGCTCTTGGCAAGGAACAGTTGCTGGATAGTATACCGAGGCTGGAAATCTGGAACCATCGAACATCGTCAGATCTTAATTCTGGGAACCTTGGAGCCACTCGCTCCACTCGCGCGTCTAAGTTGCGTCAGATGTCCGTCAACTCGTGTCGGAGCTGAGCCGAACCTGAATCGAACTCGAGTCGACCTTTCGGTCGGGCATGTCCTCCTACAGGCGGATGCCGGGCGAAAAATTTAAATCGTCATGAAATATGGCTTAAAAACAAAAAATGAATCGTCCAAAGACCATATTTGACTATTTTTGAATATTCCTCCTGTAGTGGGACATGCCCGACGTATGTCTAGCTCGAGCTGAACTTGAATCGAACTGGAGTCGAACTGGAGTCGAGCAGGTCCGCCAGGTGGGCCGCAGGACGGGCCCCCGACACGAGCATCGAGACGTCGGCTCCGTCTGGAAACCCACGCGAGGATCCCTGGGTCCTTGCCGACGTCGTTCCTGCCGACCGAGAACCAGCGGCGAGCGAGAGGGGGGAGCGAGAAGGAGAAGGCCTGCTCAGACGATTCGGAAGTCCCCCGACCTGCTGAGACGTTTCCTGAGACCCCCCCCCCAAGACACAGACCACACCTTTCATGCGGATACATTCCCAAGTGCTACCATGCGTCGCCGAGACATCAGAACAAAAGAGAGATGTCGAAGGATGAGGTGGCAAGCCCTTTTCAATACCAAGCGCCCGTGCTCCTGAAAGGGGGCGGACAGGCCCCCTCTGCCTAAATCGAAACGGCGGTAAAGGAAAAAGGGTTCAGGTTCTGGGCTAAGCACAGGTAGTTCCTAAGGGCCTCGGGATGCTTCTAAAAGTCCTCAGAAGACTCCGAGGTCCTTCCAGAATCACACTGGCTGTACGCTACTGATCAGAACCTGTTGGACTCCTCGCAACCCCCTCCGGCGATGCTGTCTCCTGCAGCTCGTAGGCCAGCTGGGCCTCCCCGGGCCCCTTGTAGGCCTCGGGCTCGTGGTTGTGATCCCCCTTCTCGCTGACATGGCGCTGCTAGCCCGCGGTGTCCACCTCGTGAAGGTCCAGGCCCGTGAAGCAACAACCTGTGATGCACGCAAAAGAGGCAGGCCCCTTCTGCTTGCGGTTGGCCGTCTCCTGGCATCGGCGCTGCAACGCGACGCTGTCGGCGGTGATGCCGTACTCGCCCTGCTCGAGGGCGTTGCGTGATAGCGAACACCCGCCTCTGACGCTTGGTGAG